TTGTGATCTATGGGGCATGGTGCATACTTGCATGCCTGCCCAAAATCCAGCAAAAGGATTTAGTCTTATTTAAATAGGTCTCCATTTTCTTTTTATTCTTTCTGAAATTCAACCTGCCTCATAGAAGCTAGCATTTATCCCAGTTCTCTGATCCTTTCCCAACTGTTCGGTCCTCATGTGTATCCCTACGACACATCTGATGTCGATGGAGCTCTTCTGGTGGCACCACATGGTGCTCACTGCTCAGAAACCTGGCGATGCTTCTGCACGTTCATCTCTCTTGCATTATGCTGTAGAGGCATATGTTGCTTTACACTGTGTAACCTACTGGAGATGACTTTACTGCGTAGGCATGATTTAATATTGTGATATTAAGGGTTAAACCTTGATTACGGAGTGACAAGGTGCTGCTTTTCCAAACACTCTATTTTGCAAATTGCCCATTTACTTTCTCATCAAGACACAAAAAAAAAAAAGGCTGTTTATTCTCCTGTCAGAGTACTAAGAATTACTGCTTTGATCCCTCTGCAGTCTCACAAAATCTATGAGATTTCAGAATTCCCTTGCCTATGTTATTATGTTTTTCATCTTCTTTTAACCTTCTTTGCTAAATGGTCACGCGCATGGTTGAATTAGCGCTTAAACTGTCAAATTCAGCTTTCCTTTCTTTAAATGAGTTTAGAATGGACTCATCCATGAATCTGAACTGTTGTGACTTCTCTGTTTAGTCGGTGAAGGAGGGCAGCAGTTTCTGTCCCCGATGAACTGCTCTGTCTGGTTCGGTCACTGATGCATTTCCAGAAGATCCCTCACTGAAAGTCCAGTGTAGTAACACCCACTGCCTGCCAACCTGTGCCCACTGGCTTATTAGGTTGCCTCTGAAGCTGTGAATATGATGGTGTCACTTCCACGGAGGTGTTTCGAAAGGTGCAGCTGACCCAGTGACCACAAAACCTTGCTCCAGCATTCATAACAGGAGCAGTTTTTCCAAACCCAGCCAGCACTAAGCATCTCCCTTCCCACAACATGCAGATATGGTCATTTTACCTAAAAAAAATTGTGCCCTTGCTGCGTCTGCAACTTAATTGTCACGGCTGCCAAAGGGGCTTAGATCTGAGCTTCGTGTGTGCAGGGCAGGGCTGGGACTGCATGGGCAGGTAATAGCAAGTTTATTGTCATCACCTTCCTCTAATGCATGTGCTCATTCAGAGGGGTACACAAAAAGCTCTTTGTGTTTGCAGATCCATTGCTTCCAGTTGTTTTCACACAAAAGAAAATGATACCTGTGCGGGACAGCACACAGCCATTTCCCCAAAGCAGTTGTTGTCATTGAGAAATACATTTTGGATGAACACTCAGCCTCCCAGAGCAGGCTGTCCTGCTGTGTATGAATCCAGCATCTGCAGGGGATCAGAACTGGTATGTTTTACTGTTTTATTTATTTTTATTTATTTATTTATTTATTTTAGAAAGAACTCCAAAAGCTAGATGGAAATAATAGTGACTAGCTAACAGCAGTAATCACTGGGAGCCGGAATCCAGGTTGAGATCCTTTGTGCTAGGAACTGATCGGATGGGTCCATGGTGAAAATCATCTCTGTCTCCAAAAAAAGCACTCATGGAAGTTATCTGTCGGAGCTCACCCGCCTGCTGGAGAGCTGCCAGGTCCAGCAGATGATCAAGGTGTCAAAGGAGCACTTCAGGGGAGAAACAATTGAAGAAAACAAAAGGAATGATTTGCATCAATGTTTATGGTAGAGGAGCTCAGGGAGGCTCCTACAGCAGAGTTACTTTAAACAGGAGCTGAGTTGAACTCTCTCAGATTCAAACGCAGGGAAATTTTTGGAACAAACTAATGCAATGAGCAGCAACAAATCACCATGACCAGCTTTCACCCAGCCCTTAAATGGTGTGTAAATACAACACGGTTGAACTACAAGTTTTGGGATATAACCTGCTGCTTAAATTGGACTTTTTATTGGAAGAACGGAAAGTGGGAACCATGGCACAATTTTCCAGGCCAGAACTCAAGGGATGATGTGAGAAACCATAAACCATCAGTTGTGTTGCCCACACTATCAGATGTTGAACAGTGCAGGGAAGAGGAACTACCAGGGTTTTTGCCTAGGGAAGCCAAACCTCAGTTACTCGTGGGATCTCTTGGAAGCAATCCCCACCCCTGGAGCTGCTGAAAACTTGTCTAGGCCTAGAAGGCCCCTCTCACATTGATCCAAGCTGTCCCTGTTTTCAGTGGGGAGTAGGGCTAGACAATGTTATGCACGTTCTCTGAACTCCCACTACAGGTTTATGGAAGGGCTACAGCATGAACTGGGCATTTATTCTGACCGGTGTGCCTGTTCTCATGTACAAAAACAACACGAGGAAGAGAGTAGTGCATGCAGGGCTGGAGGGGAGGGAGGCAAGGCAGCAACAAGACCAGTGTGAAGCAATGCTTTTGGAAACTAATTGTCTTCAATTAGCCTTTCACCTTTGATTTAGGATGGACTGCTACTGCCAAAAAATGCCTCCTGAATATTCATTTAAATTAACTTGCCTTGACCTGCTGTTTTCTCGCTGGGGTTTGTTTCCTCTGAATGCTCGCAGAGGGTAGTTATTGTGGCACAGGGGGGGCTGTGAATGGGCCTGGCAGAGCTGTGTGCCCAGCTATTCATAAACAAGAAGCCCTGGATTTATGCACAGGAGTGTTTATGTCGGGAGCACCAAGCAGGAAACTGGTGCAGTGTGGCTTTGTTGAACGGTCTCAGTAACAGAGCTTGACTTGCAGGGAGCTGTTAGTGGCCCAACGGGGACCGAAAACAGAAAGCTGTGAACATCGTTTGATGTCTAAAAACAAGCAAAATGAAAGAATATGCAACAATATACAGTCAAGGGAGAAGAGACTAAACAAATAAGCCCTTACTGACTGCAAATCATTTGCTTGTTTCTTCCCAGCAGGTTGAATTGTGCCTTTCTCATAGCCCATCAAACATTTTGGAAAGCAAGAGGCTGTGTAGTGGACAAACTATGGTGTCACACACCTCTCAGGTTCATGCAACCACTTCTTCTCAACCTCTTCAGCATCCCTGCAGGAACTCCACAAGCTGGCTCAGCTCTGGGGCAGAAAAGCTGATGCACATGGAAGGATGTGTCCCCAGAGCTGAGACATGCCAAATCCACTGAGTAGCATCAGAAACCCTGTGCTTTAGGTGCTCAGAGCTGACTTTCTTCCTTCCCTACACCACTCTGCCTATTGTGCCAGACTGCCTCAGTCTGAATAAACCAGAGTCATAAGGTCCCATCTACCACCTCTTAAAAAGCAAAGCTCAAAGAGCCCTGGCAGTGTATAAAGCCCTCCTAACCCCTACCCAAGTGGTAATGATTAAACTTGACTGCCCTGCGTGACTTCACGTGCAGCATTTACAGCTCCCAAGTCATTGGAAACCTTCATATCTATTCAGGGCACATTCTGTTCCTCCACAAATCATCCACACATTTTCTTCCCTCCATAAATGCTGTGATAACAGCTGAAAAGTGAGAGAAAAATAAAGCTGTGTGATATATGTGAAATGCAAAATGGTTGCTCTGTTCTGGCACCATTTGTACATTCATTTTTCCCCATCACCCACAAGAAGGAAGGTCGTAAATAGAACAAGGCAAGGACTGTAAGGGAGGGGATGCCTTGTGTTAGGTTAATTGGTACAGTTAGTCTCACTGTGACAGTGGACTCTTTTAGCTGAATTTGTATTGAAAACCCATCCTTGTAAAATACAGCTTAGAAACACAGAAATAATTTAAAAATGGAGGTGTGCAGAATGACAGAGCTGCCACTAGGGCCTCTTGCCTTCCTGAATCCCAGCACAAGGAACAACTCTGCTGTTTCCCAACCAGAACACGGGCAGAAATCAACATCAGCTGAAAGATGAACAGGATTTGGGGTGAGGGGAAAACCTGCCTTGGGAGAGAGCTCGTAGTTCAGAGCCTGGTCCTGCCAGGTACAGCACAAGGTGAGGAACAGGCCAGCAGCTGTTGCAAGAAAATGAACAAAAAGAAAATGAACGAAAAGAAAACGAACATCAAAATTGCCATTTCTAGTGAGGATCGTTGTTCCCTGTCTTTTGAGGGACTGGAAGTGTGGTGTCTCTGCTCAGAATAGCCATCAAAAAAGGGTATGATGGCTCCCTCCTGGCCAGCCCAAAGTCACCGCATGCCTCCTGTCCCAGGAAACCCTCTGCCCTTCCAGGGACCGGCACTCTGCCAGCTCAGGGAAGAGGTCTCTTCTTTTGCATGGTTGAGCACTCAGCTCAAGTGTGTCGACACCTGGTGCTTTGCAGAGAGGCAGAAGTGCAGCAGTTGCCAAGTGCTTCATGGAGAGATGGAAGCTGCAGCATTACAGACACGAACCCAAGCACTTGTGCGACCCTTCATGATTTAGCACAGGCCTTTCAAGATGCTCTTGAAGGCCAGGGAGAGGAGGCAGGTTGGGCATCAAGGGCTGATCTGGAGATGTGCAGATCTGAAACTCTTCTATGGCTGTGCACACACACACACATGCAGGTGTGCGTTTATTTTCACATTAATTCCTTTTTATATCCTTTTTTCACATTAATTCCTTTTTTACAGAGAAGTAATGAGATGAATCTGTATGACAGTAACAGTGAGGGATTAGGAACTGCAGACTCACTTTTCTTATCCACCATACGTGAAAGTCTCCTTGTCTCATCCCCTATCCATAGGAGTGGATAAACTTCCCTTATCCCTCTGCACATTTATCTATGTAATTGTAATGGCACCTGTCCCAAGAATGTTCCAATTTGTCATGTCAGTAGAGCCAGCTCCAAAATCCCTCAGGGATTAAAATCCATTCATACTGGGGTAGGAAAGAAATCTATGCATTGTGCAAGCAGCTCAAACTAGATAACATCGAATCTGGCTGTCAGACCTCTAACACATGACTGATAATAATAATAATAATGAGAGAACATACTGCACATTGTCTTTGATCCAACCAAAACAGTCCCTAGCCTCTTTTGCTATGCTCGGTGGCTTCAGCCAGGGCTGCAGTGGTTTGATCAGGATGAGGATGATGGTGGCCCCTGCGGTGGAGCACCGCGGGGCTGGGCTCATTAGCATGCTGAGAAAGCCCCATCCTAAGATGGAAAGTACCACCAAAGGCTCATTTTAATGCTCCATAGTTGAATAAGCCTGCAAACAAAAAATATATCATTATCTGGGCACATCTTGTAATTCTTGTTCGAGCGTTTTGCATAATTTGCTGCTACTTTCAACTTTTCTGTTCCCCATGTGGCAATGTTTGACAAAGGGGAAATAGTAAGCTATCTATTCTTGGAACATTTTCCATTGCTTATTGTCATGTGGCTTCAGGCCAGGCTCTAATTCAAAGGAGAAAAAACACATACAATGAGGAGTATGAATAGGACTGTCTAGTGGAAATCAATACAGCTTTTAGTAGCGGTTTGGTAAATGCTTCGTTACCTCTCACCTAGAGCTGGGGGTGGGAAGGGACCTTAGGCAAAGCCAGATGAGTCAAAGATCAGTCTCATTAAATACAGCTGGAGTACGCTCTCACCACTTACCACTTACAAATGATGAGGGAAAAGCAAGGAAATGCACAAGAAATGTCTTTCCCATACCTGTGTGCTTGTGTGGTAATAGGATGCATATCTGAGGCAACAATGTCTCAAAACTGCCAATTAAGACCACTTGGGACTTATTATATGATATAAACCTTTGCTCTGCAGTTTCCCAGTTGTTTGTAAGTACCCAGAGCAGCCCTGTGCTGCCGTTCCTGGGCACATGCAAAGGCAGGGGCTGCATCCTGCACGCAGACCTGCCTCTGCCCTCCTGCGAGGATCCTCATCCCCTCGGCTGAATGGAAAAGCTTCCGCACCTTGCAAGGGCAAAGGTACCCAGTTCGGTGGGTAACAACACAGGTAAGGTCTGGCAGAATTTTGCGTGCGTTTTTTGAATGTCAAAGGTGTGGAGAGAGGTGATGTGTTTAAAGAAGCAATTTGTGATTTCTGTGCAAGCTAGAGAATGCAGTGATTTTCTTTTCCCCTCAAAGAAAAAAAAAAAAATCAAACCCAAAGCATTAATATTCATGCTTAAACACTAAAACATTTGTTGCTTAATAGTAAGTAAAGGCACCAGTGACTAATTCCAGCCATAAACACATCGCAGCATCATCCATTTCTCTCAGATTAATTTAACTCTGCCTTTTGTACGTGTGCAATAAATGCTAATAAAACCATGCTGGGGGGAATGAGGGTGCCTTGCCTCATGTATGGACACTCACTCACAGAAGATGCCAAGGTGTTATTGGAGCATGGTACTGTTGGTTTGCACTGGCAGGAACAGGGCAGTACCAGCTGTGCTACAACTCACAGGAAGGGCTCAGCAGGACCTTTCTGCAGCCTTGTGCTGCCTCTTGAGCTCATGCATGGGATGAAGTGAGGGAGGCCAAGTGCTGAGCCTGCCCCATGTGGGAATTGGCCACTTGCTCTGCTCTTGGGGCATCATCCTGGGCTGTGTACACCATGGGGACTCCTCCAGGGACAGGTGACACAAGGAGCAAGTGGTTATGCCTGGGAGGTGATCCCAAGCCCAGTCAAGGGCTATTCACCTTCTGCTGTTCATGTTTTCGTATGATGAGGAGTTTATGGCAGAGCTCATTAGTTGCACCTGAGAGATTGTGAGGGGGACAGATATTGCAGCAAATCTGTGTTATGATAAGGGCATTTGTAACGTGGCTCAGCTTCATTCTGGAAAGAATCCTGTCTCCACAGTGTTGGAGGAAATCAGCTTTGGGTATTTGTTTTACAGCCTGCAAATGCTCTGAGATCTTCCATGAAGTGTTAATTAGAGGAAGGTAGCACTGCGTTTATTTTCATCCTAGATGTTGTGGCATGTTCATTTGACAAAGAGAAAGAAAAGACAAATTGCTCAGGCTACCACTGAATTTGTATATGGCTGAGAAACTTTGTCAGACCAAGGCAAAATCCCCCTGTGGTGGTGCAGAGAAATGATGGTCGGGTTGGTCTTCTCCAGGCAGGGTGCCAGGACATGTCCAGGGGGGCATCACTGCGCTGCTTAAATGGCACAGTAATAAATGGAAGTGGATAAACTCACCTGCTGAGTCTATATGAGAAGCCTGCTAACTCTGTATTCCTTAAATTGGAGGCAGATAATCTCCTTTATTCTGTTTGTCCTCAGCTGCACACAGGGTTATTGCGAGGGAAGTCAAGTCGCCTTTCCTCCGGTGCTGAATGCAATTACAGGGAGCATGTCCCCGTGCTGCCGCCGGCTCTGAGGCAGTGCCAGAGCCCCTAAAATGAGCAGGGGTTCCCACTTGGTGTCTGTACCCAGAGCCTGCAGCTCCCCTCTGCTAGCAGAGGGGTAGGACAGTGGGATGCAGGTGGAGAGTTCGTAATATCGACGTCCTGATTTTCCCAGTGCTCAGCTACTCCTACAGTAAATATTGCTCTCAATTTTCCTTCCTTAGCACCAGTTCTTTCTTTCTGTTTTATGGTCTGCTGTGTGATTAATTCCCCTTCCCTCACGGCTTCTGTTGTGAAGCATTTACAATCTCCCGTCAAGTCTCTCTCCTCACACCTTGCAATCACTCTGAGACGCACGATTCGCATTTCACAGGCCTGGCTTCTTCTCTTTCTCATGTCTCTCTTCACTCCCTGTTTCCTAGGCATTTTTCTCTTTGTCCTTCTTAGCATTTTTAATACTAATTTTTGGCATGTTTTTGTGAAAAGAAACAAAGACATAAAAACAGGATTGCAGAGCATCCCTGGTCCCACCCTGTAATTCATTGCCTTCCTCCTCGAGCAGCTCCGATAAGGTCTCCCTGCTCCTGCTGTGACACACTGGCAAGTGCTCTACAGGACATACAGAGGACCTGCTGCTCCCTCCAACCACAACTTGCACTTAGCTCAAGAAGAACATCTGCTTTTAACCCTTTGCATTGTAGAGCTAAGCTAAACAAAGTAAATCTGACTTTTGCCTGGGACGTCTGTGTTAATTATTCTAATTGCTTAGTTTTCATATTCTACCTGCCTGACAAACTGCATTAGCTCTGGGTTTGGATTATTTTATTTTATTTTGTTCTTTTAATTAATACTGTGTAAAAGTACAACAAATGTGATTTGAAAGAAGTATTCAGAGATCCCACTTCAACTTCCATTACACATTTCAAACCTGGATCAAGACAGATTGTAGTGATCACAGAGGAGGACTGAAGACAAGCAGACTTGACCCAAAATGGAGGTGAATACTATATCTGTAAGCCATGACAGGTGAATAAACAGTGGAGTAATATAAATTATCAAAAGAAGTGAGGACGGCAATCATAACTGTCACTGCTGATATTAATCCCATATCAAAGAAGCACCATTCCCCGGAGAGATAGGAGCTGCCATAAAGTAATAAAGGAATGGTATGAAAGGACTGTGCACTCGGTCAGGGGAAGCAGCCAAGGGGCTCACCGTCTGCGTAGAGTCTTCTGCAATAAAATCCAACAATGTCTCAAGGGTGGCAGTGATGGGGAAGAGATCCCAGTGTGCCCCTTGGAATGGACTTTGTGAGATTCATAGAGGCAACAAAATGAGAGGCAATGTTCAGTTCTGCTTTCTCCTTGCTCTGTCTGAGGTTAGCTGTTCTGAACCCAGGACACCAGAGGTACCTCCTGGTTTAGGCATAGGCTATAGTCCATGGTTTAAATGCCTTTTTACCTTTTATCACATTTCTCGAGCCAAAAAGGGGGCAAAATGCAGGGATCGTGTTTGATAGCTGTGATAGGGTTTGGGTGTGCTTGTTATTTGTCTGAAACCCTTTACAAATGCTGTTTTCCTGTACAATCACTGCCAAGAGCTGAGTTTTCCCTGAAAAAAAAAAAATAAATAAAAAGGAAAGGAAGTGTCAAGAGAAGAACTGGTCAGCTAGCAACATTATTCAAGAATGTTGAACACAATTTTCGGTAGGAAGCCAAGAAAATGAGACTAACTTGCCAAAGATGCTCTCACCACTATGATCTCAGGGCCCCTGGTCTGCCAGTTTCCAGAAACCGTGATTTCCTTCCCGCAAGCATGAAAAAGGGTGGTGGTTGGTCATTAGCTGGGCTGAAGACCAGTGTGGAATCCAGCCTCAGCTCTTGCTGGGTTATTATCTCTCTTTAATTAAAATGCCCTGTAATGTTACTTCTCCTTACAAAGAAAGCCTCTAAAAGCTGCTAAAAACCTCAGGGCTAAGTAGCAGAACTTATAGCTCTGATAACTGGAGACAAGGGAAGGGTCACTTGTGCAAACCAGGGAGGCAGATGCAGGAGTATATTTGCCAACTGAATCCAAAAAGGAAATCTTTATCCTTGAGACGAAGCCAATTAGCGAAGCTTGTGACTGCGTGTCCCACAAAGGGCATTTTGTGGGAGGAGGAGAAGAAGTCATTATTAGATTTTGAAAAGGCGATGTATTTCTTGTCCTTTCTGTACAGGGCAGAGCCTTCTTCTAGTGATCATACTGGCCCGAGGCTTCTGCTCTGTTGACCAACACGCAAGACTTGAGGTCTTCATCTCTACTAGCCAAACCCCCAGCATAGGGTCCACCAAAACTTGCTGATCCCCACTGTCATAATCCTGAGAGTACCTGGCATCTTTCCAGTGTCTTGAATGCTGGATCTGACTCATATTGTCTGTTTTGTTTATATACTCACCATATTTGCTTCCCACTTGTGCATCAGCGTAGCTCATGTCACAAAATTAGAAAATGAGACAGACTTGTCAGAGACCAAATACAATCCATGCTTTGATTCAGTGGTGTTTATGTGGTACTACCCAGATATAATGTGCTTCAGCAGGTTGAATGACACCTGAAAGGGCGGCTTATCCTAACTTCCCACTTTTTACCTCCCCCCAGAAAAAAAAACAAAAGTCCAAAACACTGAAATTAATTGGCAACCTATGATATTTTCATAAAGAATAGAAATAGAGATGCATTGACATGACTTAGGTTTTTGTTCAAAACTTAAACCTCCCTGAAAAGGTTTGCTGACTTCTCCCAGCTGTAGGAGTGAATCTCATGGCAGGTGCTCTGCTCCCTCCCAAACTCTCTTGCTCACAGCTTTATGTAGGATGTAAGATCACCCTGATTTCAGACCTGCAGAAGCCTGAATCATCTTTATCTCCAGCTCTGAGGCTGGCTGTTTTTTTACATGTTCTGGGGCAGGTGTGGACGAAGTGACTGGCAGTGGAGGCCTCCAGAAGAAATGCGAGAGCTGCGTGTGATGCCCTGGCTGGGGCTGGTTGCTGCACTCACAGCCACATCTCCAGGGGGTGGCAGAGGAATTCACATGGACAACAGCAATACAGGGCAGCTTCCTGGAGTTTGTGACTGGGCCAAAACAGGATCAGGCAGCCAGCAGAGCAGATCTACGTAGCCAACAGAAACAGGCACCGAAGGCAGTACCTCCAGGAAAACAAACACAAGGATAAAGGCACTGCAAAAATGCGATATTATGATGAGGAAGAGAGCTGAGCTATTGGAATGACACAAGCACAGAAGGAGACAATTGACTTGGGGGATGATGCTGGTGAGGGCAAAGGACCCTCCTCTGCCTCCACAAGCCATCTGCTGAAGGAGTGGTGCAGCCTTCGTGCCGGGCGGATGCCATTCTGCTGCAATGCTGAAGAAATTTTTGGCTAAGATGATACGAGAATCTAAATCTACCGGGTCTGCATCCCCCACCTCATCCATATATCTCACCATGTCCTTGAAACTCTCCCTCCATCAAGCCAACATAATGCTGTGCAGGACAACTTGTCCTCTCACAGACGGAGCTGAGTTCAAGACAGGTATTGACCTCAGCTTTTGAATCCTAACCAGCCTGTGAGGACACACTCTTGATTTTTAGTTCCAGCCCCAGATTCTCTGGACTCACATGAAAATACTTGATACCCTGTGACTAAATGAGTTCAAAGTGTGAATTCTTCTATCTCCCTAAGAAAATTCACATATTATTCCCATCAGGTAATTAATCTAATCTTTTCCTGCTGGAGAGCTACTGGATTCCTCCATGGTGTTCCTCACAGAGCCTAAAATGGTCTGACCCTCCCCACTGCAGGTTATGAAGCCCTCTTCCAAAACCTTCCTGCCACAATGAGAATATTTCATAGCTCTTAAAATGAAAAGTTCACTATTTCAGTGCAGGGACTGGGGAGGGAAAATCTAACAGGAGCTTTGCCTGAACATATGACTCTCCTCATACTTGTTTTGTGGAGAAAGCCTTGGTATAAGGGGCTAGATGGGTAGAAACAAGAGGCACTGGTGCTCTAGATGTGCTCCTGGTCACATTTCTAGAGCCTGCAATGCCCCTGCCTGTGATGTTAGCACTATTTTGGGAGTATGGGTGAGATTTAGCAGCTTGCTGGGCAATGGCTGCAAGGTGTGGTGTACCACAGACTTGGCACACACAAACCCGAGGCAGCAAGAGGTCTGGTCCCGATCGATGAAGCTCTTCCCTGAAGGCAGTCCCTGAGCTGGACGCTGTGAGGCTGTGGAGGTTAATGACAGGGTCTCACTGTCCGCTGGATCAATAATGAGGAGAGAGGTGGATGTGCCACGGGCCCTGCCTGCCAAGTGCTCTTTGTGCTCCCCCTCAGACAGGATTGGTGCACGTAAATCAAAGCAGGGACCATCGCAGCATGTCGCGCTCATTTCTTGTGAGAGAAGGTGCAGCTGGAGTTTATTTCTCTTTCAATTTTATTTAAAGAAGGAGAATCATCTTTAATATATTGGAAAACCTCTTTAATCCCTCACACACACTACAGAATATGACAAAAGCCTCAGGATCCCTGAAGTGAGTTACAGATCAGGAATGCTGTTCTCACTTTCATAAATCAAAAAACAGAGCAAATTTCTTGAATTCAGTCCTGCTATTGTGGCTTCCCCTACTTTCAATATGAACACCAACCCTCCTCGCTGTATGCAGCTCTGTAATTGCATCCCCAAATCCAAGAGGATACGTTAGCTCTCACAAAGGACGAGTTTGCTGTCTCCAACCAGTAATTCATATGATTTGCTGTTCCATTGGCAGCTTAGAGGCTGTACAGACAAATCTGCAGAGCTCTGAGCAGCTCGCAGCCCAGCGGAGCTGTTTGGGCACCGAGCAGAAGCGATGCGGGCTGGGGGAGAGGCGGGAGAGATGCAGCATCCCCACGGCTGGCAGACCGTGGCGTCTGACTTCAGGTTTGCAAGCCATTACCCTTACACCGACTTGTGCAATTGCTCCCTAAGGAGAGAAAATTGGAAAATACAAACATTAGGGTCTGACCTAATAGTTGGAGGCATATTATTAATTCAAGTAACAATTAAGTCCGATTCCAAATACGCCCAATCCTTCATCTCCTGTTTATTTCCCAGCCATTCAGCGTCCCACCTGTACCCCCTCACTAAAGCTGCTTAACTAGGGGGGAGGTAAGGTTGCTGTTCCCTAAAATGCTCTTCTTTCATTGCTGTTTATGTCTGGATCCCTTCCTGCTCTTATAATTTGTACATGTTAAACACTGTGTGCTCTCAATATTTACCTATTTTTAACCCTGACTCATTCTGTTTATTTCCATAATGCATGCCTCTCTACATTTTACTTCTCAATGTTCGTATTCATTTTTTTTTTTAACTACAGAATATCCTCATTTATTTTCATTTGTAAGCACTTTAGTAATTTCTATTTTCAGTTTGGTTTTAACCCGTCTTGTCCAGATCTTGTCTTTTTTTTTCTGGAATGCAGGAGGCTCATCTCCAGCCCAAAATAACAAAAGCATTCCACACCCCTCTGCACCCCCAGCTTGGAGCTGCTGTCTGCTCATCAGGAACATTCACCTTGCTCACACTTTCCTCTGCAGAAATACCAGTGCCCCCCTGAGTCACCTGACGAAGCGTTGCATCTCATGCTCCATCGTACAGCAAAGATAGAGTGGAAAGTGTCAGGAGACAAATAATCTCTGCAAGCTCAGCTAGCAGGAGAAAATCAAAATGAAGATGTTAGAGCCGGATCTGGTAGGAATCCAGCATGGGCAGCAGTGGAAAGTAGCCTCTGCCTGTGATGGGTCTTCCTCTTTCAGCTGGTCCCCGTCCTCCCCTTGGGAGGCTAATTGCAAATGTAGGGCACGTAGGAGCTGGCGTTAGCATCGCTCCCCTAACGAGGTTGCGTGGCAGATGCTGGGGTTGTCGGGAGGTCGCCGGTGACCCCCTGACCCTCGGGGAGGCAGTGCCGGGATGAGGCTCCCGCGACCTCCTTTGGGGAGGCCGGCTGGGGCTATCTCCCAGCGAGCGAACAAAGCAGCAGACAGAAGGGTTAACGCTGCTCCATAAATGAACTGGCATCAAACAAGAGAGGCTGGAATCTTTCTTCCCCTGTAATATAATTTGCCAGCGGCTGGGAGCCTCCCCTCGCGTAGCTGGGGCCTTTCTCAGACAAATCGGGGCGGGCGCTGCTTGCACAGCTGCAACATTCATTTCCAGTTTGGGGGTAGAAAAGGAGTTATTTTCTCCTCCTTTGTGTCATCCCCTAACGAAAAAGGAGAAAAATAAATAAAAATCCCTGCTGTGCTGGATATGACAGCAAAGAGCATTGTGCAGGGCACAGCCCGTCCTCCACCCACCCTCTGGACACAACGCTCACCATCATTAGCTGGGCTTTTCATACAGAGGCCATCGCCCGAATTAATTTAGGATCATTTATTGGATCTTATTCAGATCAGCTTAATAGGGCTTCGGTTAAGCGCAGAGAATCCATTTCTCTCCAGCAGTAATGGCAAGCGTGGCTCAGAGTGACCCCTTCCAGCACAAACACCAGCGCTGGGCCCCCAGGGAAGGCTGGGGAAGGGTTAAAAAAAAAAAAAGGAGCTTGGCCTCCCCATATGCCAGGGACTTTTCAGCGACTAACCCCCGAGCAGCTCAGCTGTGTGCTGATTGATAAAGGCTTTCATTTCAACCACAGCGTCTGGGCCTTTGTTCACACACGCCGGTGACCGCCTGAAGCCCCTCTCACAAACCCCTTTTCCTCAAGGCACATCTAGCATGAAAGGGTCTCGGGTGGATGCACATGCATGGGGGTATGATTCCTTGTAAGATATTTAAACCTCTCCAACAGGCTCCTCTGCCTGCAGTCTCCGCTGCTCCTCTGTTCCCATACCACGTTTATTTTGGAGACCCGATGTACGTCACGCTGTGTGGATGGATTTGCTGCTCTTTGCCCCACCGCCTTGCCAGCTTGCTCGTGTCAGGCTATTTCCAAGGCTCTGTGAACCTGTATTTCAGGGCCACCCCTAGGTGCCACGCTGAAGGTGGGTGACAGCCTGCTCCCGAAGGTGGTGGCCTCCCAGCACCCACACGAGCTGAGCTCTGCTGATTAAAATGCAGCAGGGAGTGGGGTGAGGGAGAACAGAGAGAGCCCCTTTCACAGCCTCCCCGAGCCCTCTGACCCTTTATATGAAAAATTAGCATCATAATACTTGGCGGTATCCCGGCGCCTTTGATTCCTCTCTCATTGTCCCCCCTGAAAGACGCGGATGGCATCGCCTATTGCTGATTCTCAGCCATAGAGCTCTCTTCAGAAGAAGTGGACCGATAAGCGGGTCGCCCTACAACCAGCCCCATGGGTTTTTGATGAGCCCAAGCACAGCTGGCTAGCCTGCTGAGGCACAACGCATGCATTTGTAGCCCAGTGTGATAGGAGAGCTCAGCAGGTTTGTGGCAGAGCCTCTCCATTCCTCTGGCAGCAATAGGCATCACTGGGTGCTCAGGGCAGCGGGGAGAGCCCTCCTGTCTTGTGTACCATGAAGATGGATGACATTAAAGACAGCGCAGGAACAGCATCTTCTCTGGTTTTCTTAGTCTTTTGGAGAAGAGAATTTTGGAAAGCCCGAAGGAAACATTGACCTAAAGCTACTCTGCCACCACAGACAGCTTTTGCAACCCTGTCCAGGCAGAGAGAGCCCTTCATTCGAACAAAGTGGTGGCAGTCAGAGAATTACAGAGTCATGAGCCAAACTTCAGTTTCAGGGGGAAAAAAAATCATGAAGCAGATAATCGAACAAAATTTTTGCAAGCACCTCAGTGATAAAGCTGAGAAAAGTTGAAGTTAATAGGAAGATGTCAAGAATAAATCACATCAACAGAACTCAATTTCCTCCCTGACAGGATAATAGGCTTTGTGGATGAGGCAGGAGCAGACGATGCCATGTGTCTTCAGCAAGGTTTATGGCAGCGGTCTTATATGACGTACTTATAAGCCAGTTAGGGAATTGTGGCCCAAAGAGAGCTTCTATAGACTGGGTATAAGGAGGTCTTAAAACTGCTCTGTTAATTGTCAGGTTGGAATGATTCATCAGCTGAGATTTTGCAGTGATCATTCCTGTAGCAGATGTTATTCAATGTTTTCATTAATGACTTGGATGATGGAATGAGAACACACATTAAATTTGAAGGCGGTATTAATCTGGGAGGGACTGCAGACACATTTGATAAGATTAGAATTCAAAATGGTCTTGATAAGGTAAAGAAATAGCCCGAAAATAAGAAGAGACACTTCAATAAAGACAAATACAAAGTAGTACACTTAGGAAGGAATAACCAAATTCTTAAATACAGGGTGGAGATGGCTGGATGAGTAGCAGGCTTACTGGAAGAAGAAGGGCTTATAAAGGATCACAGATGCAGACTTTAGAACGTAGTTACATTTTGATGGAAAAAAAATAAATGAGATTGGAATGTATGAATAAAATTTGTAAAACAATGAAGTTAGTCTACTTTGGCCAAGAAAAACTTTCCTACCAGTGTGGGTAAAAAAAGCTCTTCCAGAAAGGTGTGGACCAGAGTGTCAGAGTCCAGAGGAATCCTAAAAGGTCTGGAAAACGCAAGCCATGAGGAAAGAATTGGGTTTATTCACCCCAAAAGAGAGAGGATGGAAACAGCCCTGAGAATTTAAGCAGCAGGAAGAGCAATAAACCATTCTCTGTGCTTACAGCAGATAGCACAAGGCATAACCTGTTTCAGGGACAGCAAGAGATACTCAGACCAGACAATGCACAAGCCTTTCCAGCTGCAGGGACCACTCAGCACTGTCACAAACTGCCCGGGAGACCGGGGAGTCTCATCACGGGGGGCTTCCAGGCCTTCTAAAGCACAGCAGCTGCAGTTTATGTCTAAACAAGTGGCCCCAGAGCTGCCTCTCTGCTGCTTTGGGCACACAGGTCCCACTGAGCATTGGGCAACCAACTCTCCAAATGACCAACGCGTGCAAACTGCTCGGACGTTACCCTCACTAGGCAAAATGGTGATTTTTTTTTTTTTTTTCAATGGAGCAGAATTTTGCAATTCTCCTACTCTGAAACCAGGCTCTTCCCCAGCTGCTCGTCGCTGCCCAAGTCCAATTAGAAATGTACATGCTATCCCCTGGGAACCCTGTGACCGGTGATACAGTGACAAAGTCTCCCTGAAACAAGCTTGTTTGTTTTCCTTCACTGCTCTCTTCCATTTGCTAATAAACAGCCTACACACATATTTAGTCCCATCTAATCTTATGCTTCACTACAAGTGGAATTAAATTGGTTTCTCTCTTGTATAACAGGAAAAAAAACCACACACACAAGAAAACAGATGCAACCTACAGTATTTCTAAAAGTCAAGGACCCCATGGAATTCAAGCTGGTCTT